TTTGCTTCTTTGTATGCCTGTTATTATTATTATTTTTTTTTACTAAATAGTAGACATTATGAATTTTACCTTGTCAGTGGTATGTGTATTTGTGTATGTATGTTAAGCTTTATTCTGTGGCACAGTTAAATTATTTGAAAAAAGTATGATCATTTCAGGTATTTCTTTTTAAATTTGTTAGGCAAGACCAGAGCAGTGCTTGATCCTGAGCTAATTATTTACCCCCCAAAAGGCAAGACTCTTCTGAGTGCTATACCCAGTATCCAGTGAATCGTGAGGTTTTTCCAGACTGGTGCGAACAGGCATTGTTCCTAGCCTTGTGTGAGTTCAGGGTGCTGTTATCCCTAACATGTCTGGTGGTTTTTCCCCAGCCTCAGGCAGTTTTCTCACTCACAGATTGATCCTCTGCAGATCTGCCCCTCTTGGGTAAGGAAGGGAGAGCAAAGTGACTTATTTGTCACCTATAAAGTACTATTCAAATGTAAGGTTTGAGGCATTACCATGATTTTTCTGCCATTCACTAATGTGAAGATCCAGAGACAAGCCTGTACCCTCCCCAGTTTCTGTACTTCCATGCCCTTTCCCATTAATGCTTGTGCACTTCTGCGCCTTTCCTCTCACTGCCCATTGGTTCCAGCCGTGGCAGCCTGGAAAGATAAGCATTAGGTAAGCATTAGGAAGGGAATTCTTTCCTGGTCCTGTGGCAGTCACCTTCTCTGGTCCACACTGCCTTTTTTAAATAATAAGAGTGACTTGTCAGCCTCATTCCTCCTCACCCCCAGAGAACAGAGCCAATGGTTCTAACTCCATATTACCAAGAAGTCAGCTCTCAACACCAGAAGTGTTTGCATTCACTGGCTCTTCCACCCCTTGCCTTTAACAAGCCATCCTTTCCCTTGGCTTCAGCCCAGGAGTCTGACACCACACCTGCATGGTTGGGATGCCTGTATTTTTAGAGACAAATTATTCAGTATGTTCTGTTTCATTCTTGAGGAGAAAGAAAAAAAGAAAAAGAAAAAAACCTAAGGGGCCAAGACTGCACCAGCGGGAATAAAAGGTACACTTATGGGCTGAACTATTTAGGGCATTTACCTGGCTGACGTAAGGATGGGGGTTGGGAGGGAACAGCAGGAACTGTAGCCCAAATCTCTGCCTCCCATGGGCCCTGCTTAAAAGCCTCAATGGATAAGGGATTGATATCCCAGCACTCATAACCCATTTGTGGAATATTAGTATAGGGTCAAGCCCAAAGCAGAGGCTAAAAGGCTGGGAAACCAAAGCATGCCTAGGAACTACACACATAATTGAGGTTGAACTCTGGCCCTAGGGCAGAAACTGTTGGTGATTTTGTCAGAAGGTGAGCAGAAGCCTATTATGATATTTGTCCCAATTTGAGGCAAAGAGGAACATCAGTGTAGTGCTTTGATAATAACTGTAGTTGATCTTCTCCAGCCGAATTCCTTTTCAAGACGGTGCCAGGAGGTAGGATACACCAAATGGGATTGAACATTGACCATGATTTCTAGCACAAAGGTCTTGTGCCAGGTCTTTGATGAAGGTCAGGGATTGAATATTAGGATTGTTGGGGATTGCTATCATCTGTAAGTTATTAATTAATTCACTAACTATTCATGGAGCACTTCCTTGGTGCCGGGGACTAAGAGAAAGAGGTGAAAGCTTGTAAGCAGATAGGAAAGGCGAGCATGTGACAAGTATCATGGCAGGGTCAGCACTGCTCACTCTGAGAGCCCAGAAGATGTCACCTAAGCCAGCGTTAGGAGGAAGGTGGATAAGTAGATATGAGGGTGGCCTTCCTGGAGGAAGTGATGCCTGGGCTGCGTCTTCAAAGGTTAGTAAGAGAGTTGGCTGTGTAGCAAAGCAGGGGAGGGACATTCATGGCAGAAGCACAGAGGCAAGATTCAGTGCAATGAGTGTCTGGGAGTGTAAACAATTTATTTCACAGGCTGTTTGTAAGACAGTGGTGTAAGTTGATGCTGCAGGGAAATAACAGGTGTCAGATGAAGAAGGGTCTTGCATGCCACTCTAAGGTATTTTACCCAAAGCCAGTGAGAAATCACTGAACAATTCTAACGAGAAGAGGTGTATGACAGGGTCTGCATTTTAGAAGCTCTTCCTGGTCGTGATGGGGATGAGGACGGGGCAGTGGATAGAGCAGGAGCCCAGCTTTGTAGCCGAGGGAACCGCTGAGCTAAAGCCAACCCAGGAGCCCAGCTTTGAATACTGACGCCATGGTCCTCCCATGTGCCTTATTGTAGCTTTCTCTCTATAAAATTTATTATGTAGCCCTTCCCTTCCTTAACCAATGGATATAGTACCACTCTCCAATTTTAGTCAGGTTGGCTATCCAAACATGCCATGGTTATTCCCATCTCTGAGCCTTTTTGTTCATCATATATTTAGTAAGTGCTTATTGGGAACCAGCCACAGTGCCTGACGGAGAGCCAAAGGCAAATGAGACATGAGCACCCGGACCAATAGGAAGATGCCCATGGGAGCGCAGGTGACTGTGAGCATCATAGACAAGCACCAAGGCAGTGCTTTGGTAATACTCTAGGATCATCTCTTTTCCATTAGTTCTCCAAGTGGAGCCAAAGGGTTTTTCAAAGGGCCATGGTATAGGATAAGCTTAGTACTGTGAGCAAAACGAGAGAGAGAGAGAGAGAGAGAGAGAGAGAGAGAGAGAGAGAGCCAGCCCTAAAAAGCCCTCCCCCTCCTCTGCTAAACCCTGCCCATCCTCAGGCTCTGTGTTCACTCTGTACAGAGCCAGGTGGTGTTTCTATATACTATACACCAGTCATACTCTTCTTCTCAAAATTGTTCAGTGGCTTCCCACGACTTTGGAGTAAAACACCTTAGTATGGTATTCCAGGCGTTTCTTTACCTGACAAGGTAGTATAATGGTTTGGAGCTTGGGTCCTAAAGCTAGACAACAAGATTTTAATCTTTGTTCTACCACTTTCAAGAAATACTATGACCTTGGCCAGAAATTATTGGTGCCTTGGTTTCTTCATCTATAAAATGAGGTTGGTGGTAGCTATGTCATCTTCATAAGTTTATTGCAAACATAGATGGATTAATATGCATTAAAGCTTTAAAGTGTTCCTTGAGATGTGAAAAATATTTCATACTTATTAGTTATTATTGTCAGTTTTTATTCATTTTCATCTTAGCACCCATAGCATGTTTAGTATCTCAAAGCCCTAATGATCTATTATTGTGTTGCATGCCCTTTTTATGTATTGTCATATTACATTCAAGAATAATTTTGTTCTCCTTTAAGGCAGCATATATTGCACAAGTGCCTGTACTACTGAGATACCCATAGTGTTGGAAGGGGGATGTTAGGGTGACTAGCCATCCAAATCTTCTCAGGCTTGAAGGCTTTCCAGGATGCTAAAATCAGAAAAGTCCTGGGCAAACCAGGGCAAAATCGTCTACCATATAAGCAGTTGACACTCCTATTTTGCCTTTTATTTATGTCTTTTGGTTCCAAACTTGAAAGAAAGCTTGTTCCAAACCTCTCTTGTCTCCTGGTGGTTTCCTGCAATCTTTGCCCTTCCCTGGCTTGTAGATACATCCCCAGATCTCTGTCTTTATCTGGCCATGGCGTTCTGCCTTTCGGTGTGTGTCTGACTCTTCTCATGGCATTATTTTTTGGAAGGACACCGGTCCGATTGAATTAGGAGCCCATCCTACTTCACTATGGCCTGATCTTAACTAATTACAACTGCAGGGACTCTGTTTCCAAATAAGGTCACATGCTGAGGTACTGAGGGTTGGAACTTGAACATGTGAGTTTTAGAGGGGACACGGTTCAACCCTTAACACCCAGGTCTTTGGGTGAGTCCCAAAACTCCGTAGAGGCTGGAGGCCTCTCCTCCATGGGCAACACAAAGCCCATGAAGTTACTGTCCTGAATCTACTCCAGTTCTCCATTCATTTTGTGTTTATCACTGACTCTTTCCGCTGCCAGGTTCACATTGTCATTACTAACCACTTGTTCATCACTCTCAGGACGTTTGTGAATGTAGGGATACTTAGAAATACAACGGATGCCCGATTCATTCGCTCTAAATTTGTAACTGTCCCATCTTCTTAAAAGGGCAGCCTGCTAAGGAAATCTTGTAGCCATGGCATACATGCAGTAACTACTACATCCTGACAAATAATAATATAAGTTGCTGACTTTTAGTGCTCTGGAGAATACCATGGTATGCACAGACAGGGGTTGGAGCGTGTGTGTGTGTGTGTGTGTGTGTGTGTGTGTGTGTGTATGTGAATGTGGGTGTGCATGCAGTGGCTTATAATAAACAAACATCAGAAGACGCTGCCCCAACCTTCCTGTAGGCATTACGCCCTGGGCATGTAGGGGACAGCCTGCATAGCCTCACGCAGGCTGAGGCTGCCTCATTCTGTCAGCTCCCTGCCTCGCTGACCCCTTCCCCTCCTAAGAGATAGCTCTGTTTCAAAAGATAAACACTAGGAGTCACAAGGAACGTGAGGGAAAAGTCCAGCGAGTCTCCCAGTTGTTTTTTCCCCCCTGGTGTTCTCACTAGAAGCCCAGCCGGTCTCTGTGCCTGAGGTATTTCCGATTCAGACAGTTACAGGCGGAGATGGCAAGGGCAATGATGGACCTTCATAAGGGTCGGGGATGGGCCAAGGAGCGGATGGGGCATGGGGACTCGGGCACGTCTCCTCGCTTCCTTCCAGAGCAGCCCACCTCTGAGCAATCCCAGGGACCGAGGAGGCTCCTAGCTAGTGCCCGTTTGTGTGCCAAGCTTCCAGGCAGGCTGCTCTCCTGCTGGGAGGCAGCAGGCAGGCTCCCCGCTCAGCTGCTGCTCCGTGCCAGATCGGGGAGCTGTCGGCTCAGCGCCCACGCCTTGCGCTCCAGCTCTGGGCAGCCCCGGGTGGGCTGGGGGAAGGCGCGAAGCTCCCTCCGTGACTGCAAGTTGACTTTCTCTCGCTGTTGCTGCCGGCAGAATACCTACACCAATGCGGACAAGCTCCTAGAGGCGGCAGAGCAGCTGGCACAGACCGGGGAATGTGACCCCGAGGAGATCTATAAGGCGGCGCGGCACCTGGAGGTGCGCATCCAGGACTTCGTGCGCAGGGTGGAGCAGCGGAAGCTCCTGCTGGACATGTCCGTCTCCTTCCACACGCACACCAAGGAGGTAAGAGCCTGCCGAGCCGGGGGCATCGCCTGGGTCGGTTTGTTCTGGCAAGGGTCACGGCCCGTCTCCTTGCCTGATGACCCTCCAGCTGTGCCCAGCATCCTCGTGGGTGGTCTGGAGGTCCCAGCCTCCTAATGTGGACAAGCTGAACACCTTGCTACTGATAACATCTCTGTAGCTTCACAGACAATATGGGGCAGAATTTCTTCCTCCTCTCCAGCGAGGAGGGGGCCGCAGAGACAGGTGGTTTCCGGAGTCTGCTGGCGCTGGAGGTATTTGGGAATCCCTGGTATAGAAATAGTCACTGGAGGGAGAAATAGAAGAGGATCAAGACTCCCTTTCCACCCCACACCCTGTTGCTCCTGGTTGCTGTGCCTGTCAGAATTAGTCCTGTAAGAAACAGAGTTGGCAAATGTGCTATATGTTATTTTATTTTTTAAAAACAGAAAGTTAAGTCTTTATAATGAGTTCTGCCACAAGGGGATACTAAAGGAATTGGCCCTCACTTTGCCTGAGTGTGGAGTGACAGCCAGTGAGGGAAGGGGATTGGGGGACCCTCCACACAGGAGGAAGTTAGCTGGGCTTATGTCTGGCCCAGCGGTTCAGGTCGTTCAGGATGTGGAGACAGGAAAGGAGAGGGTAGGTGATGTTATGCTGTCGGTAAGGCAGAGGGGTCCAGAGAGAGGAGGGTTGCAAGCCTGAGATTGCTTTACGGTTCTGGTTAGCATGGGGCACTCTGAAATTGAGTAAGTGGCCAGCGAGGAGGCACATTTAGCATCTTCTCTAATAACACCGTTGGCAGAGAAATTCATTAGGTACATGCATGCTTGCGTTCCCCCCGGGAATTCATTTTAATGGAGTATTAATTAAAGTTTGATCACTGCTCAGGAGAAAAAAATTAACCCCACTTAATTAAGTTGATTTTTGAAATTTGAAATGCATTAGGAAGCCTGGTTATTGCTACTTCACAGGCTTCCTGACACTCGGTGGGAATGAATGCAAATCGCAGCAGCGCCTATCAGAGGAAAACAGGAAACGATAATGTTTTCTAAATGGAGATTCCCCAGGCAGATGCAGGGCTGGCGAGCTCCCCGATGCTGACTCTGCTTCCCCTCCGTGGGACCACAGCCACGCTCTGACCAGTGTGTCTGTGAAGCAGGGGATTAGCTTTAATCCAGGTCTTCCTGCCTGGTTGTCTGCTCACTGGTGGCTCACCCCATGCTAATCATGGTCTCAGAAACCAAAGGGATGTGTTTTCTCCTTTAACGATGAGTCTGCAGATGCTAGAATGGAGCGTGAATGAACCAAAGCCATGCTCCCTGTGAGGGCCTTGGGGTGCTGTCTGTACAGGGACGGGGTAGACTAGGTCAGTCTCCATGGAAAGGCCACTCCTGAAAGGGTGACCATGGCTTCCAGGAGCCTTTTCCAGCTCCCACCGTCTATACATGGAGCCAGGAGGCTAAGGTTCTAGTCCAGATTCTGCTGCTCCTGAGCCATGTGGGCTTGTGCAACTCACTGCTTCCCTGGCCCTGGGTAGCCTCCTCTATAAAATTATGCATCTGGGTTCAGAGGCCTTAAAATCCTATGAGTCCAATGTGAATTCAAGATTTCTTTCCATCCCACACAATCCTCATGGAACCATCAATAATCTTATGATGCAGATTCTTTTTCTTTATTTTATTTTTCCCCATTAACATTTATCCCCCCCCCCATACCTTCTTGTGCCTCCACCCACCCATGCCCTCCCCCACAATCAGCACACTATTGAACATGTCCATGAATTCTTTCTCTTTTTTTTTTTGTTCAATCCCTCCATACCTTCCCCCCAAATGCCCTCACACCCAAGTTACCTGCCTGCTCTCTATCTATGAGTCTGTCTCTATTTTTCTTTTTTAGTTCAGTTTGTTCATTAAATTCCACATGAGTGAAATGGTGTGGTACTTGTCTTTCTCTGACTGGCTTATTTCACTGAGCATAATGTTCTCCACGTCCATTCATGCAGTCTCGAAGGGTAAGCTTTTCTTCCTTGTAACAGCTGAGTAGTATTTCACTGTGCAAATGTGTCGCAGCTTTTTTATCCACTCACCTACTGATGGGCAACGGACTGCTTCCAGATCTTGGCTTTGTAAATAACACCGCAATAAACGTAGGGGTGTGTTTACACTTCCGAATTAGTGTTTCAGGTTTTTTTGGATAAATTCCCAGAAGTGGAATTGCTGGGTCATAAGGCTGTTCCATTTTGAAGTTGTTTTTGTTTTGTTTTGTTTTATTGATTTCAGAGAGGAAGGGAAAGGGAGAGATAGAAACATCAATGATGAGAGAGAATCATTGATTGGCTGCTTCCTGCACACCCCACACTGGGGATCGAGCCCATAATCCAGGCCTGTGCCCATGACTGGAATTGAACCTGGAATCCTTCAGTCCACAGGCAGATACTATATATATCCACTGAGCCAGACAGCTAGGACCATTTTGAAGTTTTTGAGGAGTCTCTATACAGCTTCCCACAGTGGCTACACCAGTCTGCATTCCCACCAGCAGTGCATGAGAGTTCCCTTTTCTCCACATTCTCGACAACACTTGTTGTTTATTGATTTATTGATGATAGCCATTCTGACACGTGTGAGGTGATACCTCGCTGTGGTTTTAATTGCATTTCTCTGATTAGTGATGTTGAGCATCTCTTCAGATATCTGTTGACCATCTGTATGTCCTCTTTGGAGAAGTGTCAATTTAGGTCCATTTTTCAATTGGATTGTTTGTTTGTGTTTGGTGTTGAGTTTTATAAGTTCCTTAAACTTAAAAACTCCTTATTAGATGTGTCAGTGAATATGTTCTCCCATACAGTGGTTTCCCTTTTCATTTTGTTGATGATTTCCTTTGCTGTGCGATACAGATTGTATTAAACATATTTTCCAGGGAGGGAACTAAGGCTGAGGAAGGAGCTTATATAAGGTCATAGAGCTCGTCAGCAGTGTGGAGACTGTGCCTGCCTCCCTACACACTGTGGCCTCGCTCTGAACTGCTACCCACACCCTGCTGTCCCCCCCCCTTGTATCTCCTCCTCTCCTCTGCTCTATTTCCTTCTTCCTACTTCTTTTTTCCCCTCTTTACATTTTCAAACCCCAAAGCAGGGGCTTGATGGGGAGGGTAGATCTTAGCTTAGACATGTAAAGTGTGGACAGGGGTGCAGGTGTGGGAGATAGTAATAATCATTAACCATTATTTTCCCTCAATGTCTCTTAGACCTTGTTAAGCTAGGTCCTGTTTGAACCTGAGCCGTGTTTTCACACTGAGGCTCAGCTTGTAGCAGGGGTGGGGAACATCCGGCCTGTGAAATCATTTGGTCTGGCCCTGCCAAGGCATTAGGGGTGAGTAAATTAAATGTTTGGCCCAATAGAGCAGGCTAACTTTTAAGTGGATAATTGTGTATGGCCTGCGCGAATGATGTTATAAATATCCAAATGGCCCTTGTCAAAAAAAAAGGTTCCCTACCCCTGGCTTATAAAATCCATTCATATGAAATAGTACTGAAGGGGGCAGTGTAATCCTGGGGTCAGGTGAAGAAAAAGAACAGGGATGAAAGTGTATTTAATACCTGCTGTGTGCTACATTATCAATCAATAGCCATGAGAATTATCACTTTTATTCTAATTTTACTGATCAGAGAAATTCACAATCTGCCCAGGGTTTTATAGCTAGGATGTGGTAAACTGTAGGAATTGACCCCAAATCTTTCTGACTCCAAGACCCTTGCTTTTTCTCCTGTGCCACACGGATCTTTCTTAAAGGCCAGAGCATAGAGACTGGGAGGCATTTTCCCCAACAGGGGAACCCAGGAGGCTGGCAGGAAGTAATACAGTCTCTTTGCTCCGAATCCCAAAAGACAAGAGAAATTAGGAGCAGTCCTGCCTAGATGCAAAAGGAGGGCTGTGATTGTGAGGATCCTATAAATAAGAGAGATGTAACCAAATCAGATAAAAAAATTCTGACTTTTGTTCAGGATGGAAAGAAAAGCAAGTTTTGAGTAGCTGTCATGGAGTCCTGGGAGAGTTTCTTTAGGGGCTAGCAGGGCTTCATGTCCATGTGCTCCCTACCAGCCCCCTTCCCGCCCCAAACCAGTCTGTCTGAGGCCCCCCTTAGGCAGAGGAGAGAGTAAGCCTTGTGTGTATGTACGTACACACCTGTGCATTCTGTGCTCAGATGCATGTATATGCACATATACATGTGCACACATAGACACATATAGGTTTTACACACACACACATGAAGTACAGCACGATCTTGGATCTGATTTTCACATCTAGATCTTTACTTGGCATGCTGTGTGCTTTTGGGAAAATTACTTAATCTCTATTATTTTGTGATAATTATGACGATTATTACAGAATTGAATGCTATAATACTAACAGCTATATTTTTGTTCCTGATAGAAAACTTCCTCCCAAATTTATCCTTAGAGCATCTCTGAAGTAGGCTTAATAAGGAACTTAAGGACTCAACTCAGGCTTCATTTTTTCTTGAAATTCTTCCCTGATGCTTCCCACCTCCCAGCAGACTGGACCGGAGCACCATGCACATATCTCCATCGATGGTGCGGGGATCGCACTGAGCTGATTAGCTCTTTGTTAAATCCAAAGTGTTCATATATGCAGTATGTTTGGGGGTTTGGATGTGTGGCTATAAAGTCTGCTCTACATTCTGCCGCTATGTCTGATCCATAGAAATTTTACTTGACAATGGGAAGCTAATCATTTCATTAAAAAAAATTTTTTTAATGGGAAAAGCGGAGAAAGCTCATTCAATCATATGTTTGTTCAACTCCAGTTCTTTGACTTAAACTCTGTAAACAAGGTATCTAAAGGGAAGTGGAATAGGGAATCTTTATCTATGGGAACTTTTCCCAAAACCTGTGTAGCAATTAGAAATAAATTATTAGGGTAGGCAGAATTGAGCATCCTTGGATAGTGTAGTGAAAAAGGAACTACTGTGGTTTGATCTTTCCATCTTGTATTTAATATCTCTCAAGACCTACCACCTCTCAAGCCCTAGTAAGTGTGAGTCCTATTTGATCCTGGGCCTAATTACTTGTAACTCCTTCCTCTTGGTTCTATAGGCAAACTTCTGGCTTTTTACTCAAGGCAAGATTGGTAGCCAAATCTACAAATCTGTTAGGGAATTTGGAGTTGCTATGGTTGTTTTTCAGGACTTTTGATGTCTTGATGTCAAAGCCGTGAGTGCAGTTTTTCAGTTTAGGCAGGCATCTCTGTTACTGCCTCCATCTTTATATCAGTTCTGAGGAGAAACCATAGCATGTGAGAGCTAGAAGAGACCTTAGAGACAAGCTAGAAAAACCACACACATGCACACACTCACTTCATTTTAAATATGAAGTAATTGAAGTAAAGTAGTTTTCCCCAGGTCAGAGAACTACCCAGACAAGGGCAGAATCAAGAATTATCCTCAGTAAATACCAATTCTATTCAAGAACTCCTTTCCCTCAGGGCTTTTTGTTTATTTGTTTTGCTTTGTTTACAGAAGGGAAACAGAGAAAGATGTCAAGGACCCTTTGTCTCTAGTGCCTTCGTTTTCTTCCCTGTCTCTGAGTCAAATCATCTTCCATCACTAGCCACTTTGACATTTTATTCTCTTGAAGGTAGACCTTCCTTTCCTTACCAGTCTGCTAACCACTGGGCTGTGCAACAACTGGTCTTGTACTTGCTTATTTATCTCTTAGCTGGTCTTCCTCGGCAGAAGGTTTTAACTTCGGGAGACAGGAGTTTCTTTATAATGTAATGGGATATAGGAACAGAAATTTGAAAAGTCAGTTCCAGTTCATTAATCAAAGAATATTAAAAGGAGGACACTTTTTTCTGATGATACAGACTTGAGGTCAGTAGGTGTTCTCAGATGTCACTAGTCATTTTGTTTGTAACTCTGACGCCTGGTTGTTGTTGTTTTAGCAGTTTTTGTCTTTGACTATCCCTACAGTTTAGCTAATGATCACCAGGAGGAGGAGTGTTATGAGTTCTGGTGGATTTCCTGAGGACAGAATGACACTTTCCTTCTAGACCTATACCAGAGATGGTCAAGTTTTTATTAAGGAATTGGAAAGGAGCTTCAAGCGATGAGCTTCAGGATGGTACTGACAACAGAATTACCTTAAATAAAATAAAATCCTCCAGACACTTCTCCGCCTCTTTCCTGTCTCTCTCCTTCCTGTATCAGTGAGTACCAGACTTCCCTGGCCAGTCTTCAGTCTCAGTGTCTGCACTGCACTGAGACATTGAGTTTAAATTACCTGCTTCCTCTTAAATTACCTGCTCCAAATCTACAATTTTCATCCCTCTTCACATTCCCACCCTCCTACCCTCCTTTTTTCCCTCCTCCCTCCCTCTTTCTCTCCTTTCCTTCCTCCCACCTTCCTTTTCTTCCTTTCTTCTTTTCTTCTTTTCTTCTTCCCTCCTCCCTCCCTCCCTCTCTCCCTTTCTCCTTCCCTCCATTCATCTTTTTATTCTTTTTTCCCCCCATTAGAAATATCTGAACTTTCTAGTCTCTAGGCCAGGGGTGGGGAACCTTTTATCTGCCAAGGTCCATTTGGATATTTATAACATCATTCAATGGGCCATACAAAATTACAACTAAAAAATTAGCCTGCTATAACTCACCCCTAGTGCCTTGGCAGGCCCAGACCAAATTATTTCATGGGCCTTATACAGCCCTCAGGCCACATGTTCTAGGCTTTCCTTAGACATCCCAGGACAAAGCAGCAAAAACAGAAAACAGAGGCCCAGCTCAGCCTAACAGGTTGAAGAACCAGATCCAGTGTTGATCTTTTACCAAATTCAAATGAAGGAGTTCTTCAAACTTTCCCTCTGCCTGCTATTCTCTTGAAGGTAGACCTTCCTTCATACCAGAAAGTAGGAAGTAGCATTAAGCTATAATGACCAATATCCTGAAATCCTGACTTCAATCTAATTTTAAATAAATACATTCATCCTTGTAGGAATATGTATCCCAGCTTATATGTTCTGAAAAACTTGTTTTGTGTTTTTATAACAAAAAGCTTATTTGTAAAGAAAATAAATTAAACTAATTACAACCAAATTGCCAGCTGCTAAATGATGGGGGCTCTGAATAATAATAATTTGGTTATAGCTATCATCACAATGCTATAGGCTTATTAATAAGGCTATATATTTATTAAAAGCATTAAGAATAAGTATATCATTCAATCCTAATAATCTTTGAAATAAGCAGGTTTTTATTGTTCCACTTTGCAGATTATTAACTGAGGCTCAGAGAGGATCTCACCTGTCTAGGAAGGACACTCTTTCTATACTGTTATTCTCTACCTCCAGGGCTTATTAATCTTGTCAACTCATCGTCTTCTCTCTCCTGTCTAAAAAACAAAGAATAACTTGTTCAAAATCTGAAGACTATTTTTGTCTGTTATTTCTTTTCTTACCTTTTATTACACAGGTCATATCATGATTTCCCATACTAAACCAAATAGATGAAATAATATTCTCAAAATGGATATTTATCTATTTTTCATTGATTTCAGAGCAAACATCCAACTCATCTTTCATTCCATCATTTATGAAAATGCTCAGCAAAGGTAGTTAGAAGTGAAGCACTGTAGCAGGCCACTGAAGACCTTGTTTCAGTATGAGGAAGAACTATCAATAAAAGAGTTTTCAGTAATTCAGTTCAACTCTCCATCATTTCTAGATCATTCTGTTCAAAACACTGTACCAAGCTTTTTTTTTCTACACTCTCCCCCCGCCCCCCCCCCCCCCCCGTTAATCCTTACCCAAAGATACTTTTTCCATTGATTTTTTTTTTTTTTTAAGAGAGTAGAAGAGAAGGAGGGGAAAAAAAAAAAAAAACATCCATGTGAGAGAGACACATCAATTGGTTGCCTCCCACATGCACCCCAACTGGGGATCAAACCTGTAACCCAGGCACATGTTCTTGACCGGGAATCAAACACAAGACCCTTCAGTGTGTAGGCCTATGCTCTAACCACTGAGTGTAGGCTCAGCAACCAGGGCTATACCTAGCTATTTTAAACTTGTCTGACTAGTAATATTCTGACTGCATTTCATCATCTCAAATATCATGGGGGAAATTTAAGATAAGATATCTCTTTTACCATGCAAATTCCTAACCAACCTAGAAATCCCACAAAGAACAAATTGATTTAACACAGCATATATTTCCTTAATTAGCCTTCATTTGGATCTTATTGAGTATCACATTCTTCTTTACATGTTTGCAAAATGGTGATAAATTTCTAGGAATTGGCATGTAGCTGCCTGGAGGAAGTGTGTGGAGCCCTCCCTTTCCTCCTTTCTGAAAGATAAAATAGTATTTGTTCATCACCGCCTCCTGCTCTTCCCAGTCTCTCAAACATGGGTGATCTCCCTGCTCTAAGACCACCAGTTTCCCTGAACCACAAGGAAGCTAAGCCAGGAGTGCCTCCCATCCTTAGGGAATGCAACACTAACAGGGTCAACTTAACAAAGATGGGTCATGAATATCAATGTAGAAGCACAACCAGACCCCTAAGTGTGCTGATGAGGACAGTCTGGCATTGCACTGACTGTGTGGGGGTAGGTTGCGTGGCCCCAGCCCGACTTTCTTGCCCTTGTGCTTGCCCCAGCCCTGGCCTCTTCTGTCTGCCCTGAGTGGAGTCTCTGCCCTCTCCCCACAGTTGTGGACATGGATGGAAGACCTTCAGAAGGAGATGCTGGAGGATGTCTGTGCAGACTCGGTGGATGCGGTCCAGGAACTGATCAAGCAGTTCCAGCAGCAGCAGACCGCCACTCTGGACGCCACGCTCAACGTCATCAAGGAAGGCGAAGACCTTATCCAGCAGCTCAGGTCAGCGCCTCCCTCCCTGGGGGAGCCCAGCGAGGCCAGGTCAGCACGGGCGGTGCTTTCCAGTGGGAAATGCCTCAGACTAGACACGAGATAAGTCATGTCCCGGTCTTGGCTCAGCCACAGTCAGCTTTGTAGTTGTGTGTGATCTTCCGTGTCTCCATCTGTCTGATATAAAAATGCCTGCACCATATGCAACTTGAGTTTAAAATGAAAAAGTAAACAGAAAAGGGCTCATCTTCTAAAGCATTATTTATTATTCATGATGTTATTCAGCAGTCAATAAGTCACATAAGTACAACAGAAATTAGCAAAATGGAACAGGAAAAAACTAATAACATCTTCGTTAAGAATTTAGTCACAAGGAGAAAGGGTCATCAGCAATAGAGTGTTCTTTAGATCCTGATCTCAGGCTGAACTCCGAACTTCACTCGGCAAAATGTAACCCAAAATGATTGGCTTTGGCCCATGTGGTGTGTGTGGTGGTCTCCTGCTCTGTTCTTCGTTACCTACTTAGCACCTTTCCACCATTCCTTGCTGCCCAGATAACAAAAATCTTCCTGTGTCAACATGAACTAGTATAACTCATAAGAAAAATCTTGTCCAAAACCTCCTATTTATTTAGAATCATTCGCACCATTGCCTCCTTTCTGTTGGTGTTAACATCTAGTTTCCTGCTCCTGTCAAGGGCCCTGACTCAGATACGGTGTCATGAGGCCTGGAGCGGGCCCTCGGCAGCCAGCGCCGTGCCCAGGTGCTGTCTGAATGGGGTTTGATGGTGCTAATGAGGCCTGCCCGCAGGGACGTGTTCCTATCCCAACATCACCGAGCGCCGGGCCTTCTGCCAGCTCCGGACAGAAATAATCTCATCAACACGTCCCCGCCAAGCCAGGGCCTGAGGGAATGACTACAAGTGAGAAGGCTTTCCCCCCACATCAGTTGTCTAATTAAATAAACAATGAGAACTTACCTTTCAGCGTTCCTGTCACGTTTTTTTTTTCTATTGGAAATTAATTATTTCGACTCTAAATATGCACACGAGATGTTGAGTCTTGCTGTTGCATACTAACAAGACAGTCTCTGTCTCTAGATCCCTAGATTCATCTTCATGCATACGTAACACATGACAGTTTTGTCTGCTCACCTAGGAAACTCCACTGTTCCTTTTTGGGAAGAAAATCATAAAGAGCAGGCAGGCACCTCACCTCTCTGGGCCTCAGCTGCTTCGTAACACATGACAGTTTTGTCTGCTCACCTAGGAAACTCCACTGTTCCTTTTTGGGAAGAAAATCATAAAGAGCAGGCAGGCACCTCACCTCTCTGGGCCTCAGCTGCTTCGTCTGTGTGATGAAGGGGCTCACGCTAGATCTGTCGACTCTGGGATCTTGTGATGGCTTTGTGTTTTCTCTCCTAACATTTTCACAAGCTTGGCTGACTTCAATCTCTGTGGGGCTGGGTTTGTCGAGATGCCTTTTGCTCTTAACAACTGCCAACTTGCACCATACCTCGGGGCAGAAGGCTCCTCAGAGATGGTGGAGGCCATAACGTGGCTGATGCCAGTTCCTTCAGTTTAAGTTCCATAGATTTCAGAGAGAATCACAGGCATGTGAACAAGAACCACTGGTGACAATGTATTCCTGCCCTGACCTAGCCTGACTCTAGCCTGGGCTCTTCTCCCTAATAGCAAGACCAGGCAAACAGAAAAAGGTGTAAATGATGCCTAGTGGGCCATGGCCGGCTGCTTCACACAGACCAGGCACACACCTTCTTGAGGCCTGGCACTCATCACTGAAGTCCTTAAAGGCGGCTTCCCATCCTCTCTGTGATTCCCAGTGAGTGTAACACTGACGTCACTGCTGTGCAGAAGGTCAGAAATGATGCTCTTCCTTCTGAAAGGTGTGTAATGTAGAGAGGCTGAGAGGGGTTGTCAGAAAGAACGGCCACATCCTCCCAATAGCAAAGCTTTCAACAAGTGCCATATTGCATAGTATGAGCACATCTCTATGTGCCTTGTGACTGGGGGTGTCCACACAATGGTGGGTTTCATGCCCAAATAGGCTAGGGCTAGGAGGTAGGATTGGGAGCTGTCTGAGTGATAGAAGGAGAAGCTCCTGGCTAACTGGTCTTATGCTCCCTTCAGAAGCAGGGAGTCTGAGCTCAGATACCACTGCTTCTGAGACATACGCAGACGCAAAGGCCTGGTTTTCAGAAAACCTGCTGATGAGAGGATTCAAAACTAATGATTTCCCCCTTGCCTTTTGACTTCTTAAACTGTATAAGAAAGCAAGACGTTGCAAGATATTGAATGTGCCCATTTATTTCAAGTTTTAGGGTTCCCGCTTACCAAGGCCCAATGAGATGTTACCTTCTTAACCTCCAGTTCTTCTGTTACAGTGATCTCTTTGAAGGTCACCACCACCTCACCTCTCAGAGCAGGTCAATGTGTTTATCTCGTGGTTCCCCTCTACAACCTGTGCCCCCCACCCCAATACTTCTGTATAAACTCAGAAAGTGTACCCCTCCCATCTTCCTGGATAGATTCCACCTTCTTCTAATGCCCAAATCAGAACCTATCCTCTTTGGAACCTTGTTGCTGTCCCAGCTTCTTGTGCCCCTCCCTCTACTCTCCCCAGCTGGGCCAGTGCACCAGCCAGCACCTGATATTTCACTTGTGTACTTTCAGGAGTAACAGTAGTCCATAGCGCACGTATGGTCACAGGACACGTACCTGGTCACAGAACACTCTCACATACACTGTCTTGTTTGACAACAAACTGTGAAGTGAGCAGGGCAGGGATTATGAAGTCCACTTTACAGGAGGCAACTGGGGTTCGGGGAGGTCATTTTTCAAGGCCATGTGTATCAGAGGGGACTTATTCCAGGATTACAGCCTCCAGTCCCATGCTGTCTAACTACAGCTTGGAGCCTCTGTGAGGACACTAGCCTGTAATCTGGCATGGCATTATAAAAGTGGGTGAATAATATTGGCAGTCATGGTCTTACTTTAACAACAACCCTGGGAAGTAAGATTAGGAAGAGTTTTTTATTCTCTGTCTTTAATGTGTCAACTCTTATGCATTGTGTTTCATGTGTCTACTCTTATGCATGTGTATATGTGTGTGTGTGTCAAACTGTACAAATTAGAGTACGCATATGCATGGAATAATCCCATTTCTCCAATGGTTTATGCTCTCCAAGACGAGCTGCTGTGCTGTGAACCCTAAAGGGGATGCAGGTGTCTTTGGTTCACCCACCAAGCAGATGGTGCCTGGCTCTCAGCAGGCGTTTGATAAATGGCTGTCACTTGAGTCACTCAGCTGATTCCCATCCACCTTGTTCAGAAGAGGAAGGCCCCCCTGCTCCTCTATCACTTCTAATATGCAAGGCCCCTCCCTCCTCTCCCCCTCTGCCACAGGGACTCGGCCGTGTCCAACAACAAGACCCCCCACAGCAGCTCCATCAGCCACATCGAGTCGGTCTTGCAGCAGCTGGACGACGCGCAGGTGCAGATGGAAGAGCTCTTCCATGAGCGGAAAATCAAGCTGGACATCTTCCTGCAGCTGCGTATCTTTGAGCAGTACACCATCGAGGTAGAGCCTGCGGGGGGGCGGGAGGGGCAGTGGGAAGGGGCCGCGGAGAGCGCTGGGAGGCCTGCCAATGGCCTGCTGCCTGGCCAAGGGCGCTGCCTCGGGGCCGAGGAAGGACTTGTAGCCTAAGGAGAATGAAAGGATTTTTGCATCAAGGATGCATTTATAGAAGTCAACAAGTTTTCATTCCGCCTCGTTATCTTCCTCCATCTTTCTCACCTCTGCTGCCCGGTAGAGCTCCTGTGTTTTACTGTCTGGGGACAGCTTCCTTGGGGAGGTTTTGGTTGCTGTGCTTTGGATGCTCGGTGCTTTGGTTCCCGAAAGGCCATGGAGCTGGCTGTGTGGGGCATGAGGTAGAGTCCTGGAATTCTTATCGTCCTGAGTAGGTAGGTGTTAAAATGAGATCTTCTCAGTTGATGACTGTAGGTTACAGATAAGCTGACATCTGTGTGACATCCAGGAAGCCGGGAAGGAAGACCTGTATTTCCTCAGTTTGCTTCCTGTTTATTAAGAAGGTAAGTCTGTGCTCAGGCTACTTGGTGGTCATAGCACAGACTCCTCGGTTCATTCGGAAAGGTCAGAATTGGGTGTTCTGGTATAGTAATGTCCCCTTCGTGATACTTGTTAATAATGTCGGCCTCGAACAATATCCACCATTTGTTTGTTTGTTTGTTTGCTTGCTTGCTTGCTTGCTTGTTTTGAGTCAGTAACTAAACCCAGGGCAGTAGGGTTTTTGGGGTGTGGAGAGTGTCAGACTCTCCAGTGCTTTGCCCTCAGAGGCAGAGGGTTAGATTAAAAGCATTGTCTTCTCTTTGCTTCCAGCTGGCGTGGCAAAAGGGAAATTCAGCTCTCTACTCACCTTTATAAAACTTTGCTTTGCATTTCTACCATCTTTTCCCAGTTGGGGCATCTGGGAGTCTGGGGCTGATCTTTCCAACAATAACTGTGCAAACTTTCTTGGAATGGGTTTGGAAGGAAAATGCCTTGGTTAAAGTTGAGAGCTCCAATATCCCATCCCACAGAGGGCCAGAAAACCATTCTGGCAACAGCTGCCCTTTTTTTTTTTTCTGACCCCAAAAATGTTTATATTTGGAATAGAAGCTGTGAACGACAAGCAGTCCTTCCTGTCGCTTCCTCTTACCCTCTTTCTCTTCTCATAAACCTAACACTCCTGCCTCCCCAGAAGCCACTGCAGTTTCTTGCTTCAAGATTTCCTGCTCTAATGGTTCCTTCTGGGCAGGAAAAGATTGAAGTCTTTAAATATGGATTTAAACTATCCTTTCAACTTACTCTATACATTTAGTTGAATTTACTTGTGCTTTGTATTTTTAGTTTATTTTGAATCTACACTCAAAAGGATTTCAGGTGTCAAGTAGTATTAAACATATATTGAAAGAACAGTTTAAATGCCAGGGGAAAATTAGAGATATTGTCATGCAGAAAAGAGTGAATAGAGTGAACTTCATAGAGGCAGGGTGACAAAGGCAATAAAGATGGGATAGAGGGCTGTGAGTTCTGAGTCTTTGGTAATTGGGAATGAAACTCACAGAAATAAACAGAGGTTGCATTCGCTTGCAGTGATGTAGGCCCCAGGCACTCCTCCCATGGTCCCTCCTCAGTACGTTTCGCCTGTAGAGAGTGAACACATGTGAACACATCCAGGGAGGACCACGTTAGCAGGCATGGCGATTTTGCTGTTGTGTTCTTTATTTACTCTTCTGTCGGTCCGGGTCTACATCAAAAAGTGCTTAAGGGGAAGAAAACCATCTGAGAGTTGGGTGTTTACATGTTATTTCATTAGGCGGCTGTGGTTTTGAGGTCAGGGTTGCTGATTTAATTCCAGAATTCATTGTTTTCTTCACTTTGCTAGGGACTTCACACCTGACATCAGCTGGAGGCATCTCAAGGATATGTTTGCTGGCAGTGATTCTGGGAAAATCCATTTTCACTCCTGAAAAAGAACCCAAAGTCTATGCAAATATATATATATATCTCCTTAAAACAAACAAACAACAACAACAAAAATAAAAAACAGCTAGCTGTAAATCAAATGGATCTTATTTAAATATTGCAATAGGGGAGTTTGACATTTAAATTATGGATTTGCATCCGTCAGCCTCCGTCTATACTAAAACCCCCCTCCCACCCTGAATCCTGGACAACTTGGACAGCTGGCTGTGGATGCTGCAGAGAAAAAGGGGAGCCATGGTATGAGGGCCGAATAAAACGAGAGAGAGAAATATGGCGATGAGGCTCTGCACCGTCCAGATTAGGCAGCGAAGGGGTCTTGTTCCCCATTTGGGATGTGGCCCAGATCTCCGGGGAAATGCTGCATTCCATCCTAGATAAAAACGGAAGTCCTGCCAACCCGATGGAAAAGCTCTGCTTGGAGTCAGCTTGTCAGAAGTGATTTTTAAAGGGTGATGAGATTATTCCAAATTCCAGCCAGTGTTTCTCTGTGGGGATGAAGAGCAAACGTCCAGAGAAGTTTCAGAATGTGAAACCGAGGGTGGTTTCTGCAATGAGACGTGTGGGTGCTGACATAAGGCAGGCAGGGCTGTCACTGCGGGGCCAAAGCTGTGCTTCCCCGCTAAAAGAGGGAATCTATGGACATACTCTGAATTCCTGGGGATTACCCAGGCCTGCTCCCCCGACATCTGGAGATCTAAGCCAGGCTCCTTCACCATATCACTGAAGGCCGAAATGGGCTAATTAATTTAAGAATTAAGGGAGGCCGAAACCGGTTTGGTTCAGTGGATAGAGCGTCAGTCTAAGGACTGAAAGATCCCAGGTTCGATTCCAGTCAAGGGCATGTACATTGGTTGCGGGCACATCCCCGGTAGGGGGCGTGCAAGAGGCAGCTGGTCAATGTTTCTCTCTCATTGACGTTTCTAGCTCTCTATCTCTCTCCCTTCCTCTCTGTAAGAAAAATCAATAATATATATATATTTTTAAAAAGAATTAAAAGAGTATAGAAATTGCTGCACTGGTCTCCGCCTGCCAGTAAGAAAGGTGTCCATGGCTCCCACAGTGTAACCTGGGAAGAGGCCATAGGGAATGGCCAATAAGAGTTTGGAGAAACTCTTCCCAAAGGGATTCAGCACATGTTCAAAAACCAGGACTGCAGCTGCATTCCTGCTATACCTTTTTAGATGCCTATAGATGGTCTATAAAGCCTTTTCCTAGAGGGTCAACCTCCCTCTATGGAAAACATTTTATATGAAATGGTTATGACAAAGGAGACACTTCACCAAATACAAGTAATGTTTATTTTGTGATGGCAGGAATATGGGTAGTATTTTCTTGTTTCTGATGCTTCTGTGCATTGCAAGTGTTCTACAATTAATCAGAATGATCAGAGAGAAATAAAAAATATTTTTAGAAGCAAGAACAGTCCAGTGGTCTCCAAACACTTTGGATTACGCAGCCTCTCAATAAAGTAATTTTGAACTTGTGCCCCCTATCTATGCATATATAATAGTGTATAAATTATACACGACTTACATCACGGACTACTAATCTCAAAACTCACTGTTCCTTAGGGCGACGTTCCGCTTCTTCATTATAAGTTGTGGTTCCATACTTCCAATCCTCTTCTGGATCATTTCCAGTTATGTGTTTGGCATGGTTTCTTGACAGATCTGATTAGATTGTCAGTGTTTCTTTATCCCATCATGTGGCCGACAAAGAGTTCAAAGTTCTCTTGTCTTTCATGATTAGTGTTATCTGCAAGCTGCCATCTTTGAGGAACCTTGTTGAGCCATGTGTCTTTTTGCGAAGGTTAGTTTAGTTAAACTAGATAGTAGATCAGTCCATTTAACTGGACACATGAAAAGAACAATAATTTGAAACATGATGAAAGCAACTGAGCAAATGAGTCACAGTCAGCTCCTCTGCAGTGGGGCGCTCCCCCACCCCCTATCCCTGAGGAGCCCTCCCTTGTCCCATCATCTGCCAGGTGATGGGACAGACTTCATCTGCCAGTGAAATTTCAGGGCAATGGCCAATTATTTTTATTGCTTTGATCTAATAATATGCATGTCAATAACATAACATAACATATATATGTATAGACAGAGAAGTTTTCTTGCCGTTATCAATGGATAATCTTCAGCATCTTCTGGGTGGGCTCAACTACATTGGAGAGGACTGGAAATGGCACCAAGAAAGATACTATACATGAGTGACTTTATGAAAAATAGATCACAGTTATGGTTTTCCTTTTAAATCTCTATAATTACAAAGTTTGTCCAGTGCACCTGAAAATTAATCTGAAAATTAACCTGAGTGAGGAATAGAATAGCCAACTCTAAATCCATAGGATCCATGTTAGGACAAGTTGGGGCCAGGCTGAGGCTGGGGAAAAATGGCCTTTAAGAAAGAAAATTCTGGCCCTGTCCGGTTTGGCTCAATGGACAGAGCATCGGCCTGCAGACTGAAGGGTCCCAGGTTAGATTCCAATCAAGGACACATGCCCGGGTTGTGGGCTGGATCCCCAGTAGGGGGCGTGCAGGAGGCAGCCAATCAATGATTCTCTCTCATCATTAATGTTTCAATCTCTCCCTCTCCCTTCCTCTCTCTGAAATCAATAAGAATATATTTTAAAAAGAAAAGAAAATTCTGCCCAGAGGAGAGCAAACTGATTTTAATTTACTGGTTGTCTCAACCCTTCAATTGTTTATATGCAGTGGCCCCCTTAGCATTTTATATTTGAAAGAGATTGCTCAGTCAACCTTTTATCTGATAGAAATTCAACTCTATAAACATTTAGTGAGTGCCTACTGTGTACCCAAAACTATGTTGGGCATTGAGGATATAGCCCCTGGCACTGGGACCAGTTAAGGAGAAACAGGAACCCAACCATTGTACTATGTGATTACTCTATGAAAGGGAGAGGCTCATGGTTTGATGGAACACAGAGGCAGGAATGCCCACCTCTGTCAGGCTGCCCACAAAAGGTTTCCCAAAGAGAACTCATCTAGAGGACAGGTACGGGTTGGTGG